ATATATATATATATATATATGTATGTATGTATGTATGTATGTATGTATGTATAATGTTGTCCTTTAATTTTGAGTTAACGAGAAATTAGCCTTCATAATTTATTTTAATTATTTTTTTATATGATCATCACAATCCAGTGACTCGGATTGTAAATTTAACGGGTTAACCTGGTTTGATTCAATATGTCATCGTTTTAGTATTTAAAAATAAATTCCATCCAATATATCATTATATCAAATGTCATATTTCATACCATAAACATGGTTACTTAAAGACTACTCTTATGTTTGTTGAAGAAGATAGTATTGACAATTATCAATAAGATTCCTAAATACACTTCATGTTTGGACTTAAAGAAGAAACAGTATTATTTGTGACAAATACCATATAAACTATAAAATATCTCTACACCTTGTGAGTAGAGGTTATCGAACCATTATAACATTTTATTTGTCAATTATTTCTTCAATTGTTTATTGATATTGATCTACCTTGAAAAATATCATTAAATGGATTTCATGTCCTCCTCTTGTAAAAAAATATAAAACCATGCCATCCTTATCCTACTCTAGGAGAATTAGATAAATTAAAGCAAAACTTAAGCAAATCAATAATTAAAACTTGACCTTTAAATCTCAAATGCTTATAAAAAACTACTAGGTTCATTTACCCATTTAAGTATAACTGGCTCGCATATAAGTTGTAATAAAAAAATATGTCTCCAATAAAACCAAATAAGAATAGAGAATACCTTAAGTTAAATTACACATAGGTGTTGTGATTTTAAAATTCTAAATTGTTATCTTAGTGTCCTACTTATTTTTCTATGAAAAAATAGAATTCTAGTCTCATATATTGCTTTTATATTTATGATTAGTTGAGTAAAAACTCCAATATTTATTGTGCTTCAATAAGACTATAGGGGCTAAGGTTAAGGTTGGCTAGTTTGGTGTTTAAAGAACAAATACCCTTATCACCTTGATGAAAAGACCCAACTCCTATACTTTTACTTGCGAGATGAGAAGATTTAGGTCCACAATTTCCATTAGCAAAGGTACTAATTATAGTCTTTTTCAAACAAAAAATTGTCAATCTAGCTAGAAATTTAAAACCAAACAAAAAATCAAGAAAACAAAAAGTAAGATTCCTCGCTTATCTTCACACAAAAAAAATTCACTCATAGATAATCTGAAAGAAAGAAGGACATGATGTTAAAGAAGAGGGGGTACTAGCTATTATAGTAATGATTATGACAACAATCATTATCATGATAAAATAATTCTAAAACAACTATATAAAATAGTGAACATGTGGATCCAAATTCCCAACACAACTATTATTATCATGGAAGACCAAGATTCTCTATAATAGCCATGTGCAAAATAAAATTCTTGATATAACCACATGCTTTTACTCCTATAGCTGTCGAGCATTAATGCTATAATATAATTAGCATCCACATGTTAATAGTCCATTCACATCCGCTATTAATATTTAAATATATCATGCTTTGTTTGATGTATTTATTCCCTGCATTTAAATTTAAATTTATGATAATGTAATTTTTTTAAAAATATAATTGTTGAAAATTTACTTGGAGGTAAATAATAATATAATACTGAACAAAACTCAATTTAGTCCCATCAAGATTAGATGAATCGAGACCTAACCAAGCCTTTAAAAATTTAATTTTTACTCGACTACTATTTTTTCTCTCTTTTATTTTTATCACTCATCTCTTATATTTATAAGCTACAGTATCAAGTTGTACAAGCTACAACTTCATTTGTACTTCAACTAGAATTACTACCTTTCAAGGTGAGCTATAGGTGACATGGGTGGCTCTCCTATGGGATAAGATGTTATGCAGTAGAATTGTTACATTACTATGGAAGTAGTTTCAAATTTTTTGTAATTCTCAAGTTTAGAGGGAAAACAAAGTTTATTTTTTTAATCTCCAACACATGAAAAATACATGTCTCTATCCACTTCTCGTACACGATATCCTCGTGAAAAACCCTAAACTAACCATGAGAATGACTTAAAAAAAACACCTTACCAACGTAGCAGAACTTGGACCGTCTGGCTCTCTCTGGATTGTAGTTGGTCCCTTGAAGCGATGAACCGCTGAACATTTGCGTCTCTTTAAACAGTGCAGGCCTAGCTATACTTACCGTGCTTGAAATCAGCATTTAATGGACCCAACTATCTGGGCCCGTGTAGATTTTACACTATGATTCCGGAGGCCCATAGGAAAGGAAATGGCGGCCTAAGCCTTTACATTTGTTTGGATCACAACGGTGGCACTTTTTCCTTGCAGGGGTAGCCCAGAAGGGTGGAAAACGGACATCATCTTGCTCGAGATTGCTCTGAAAAGAGTCAGATATCATACATATGAAAAAGCTAATGCGAAGTGGTCTAACCGAGTTGAGTTGATGAAGAAACTCTTAAATAGGCGTCGTGTTGGTTGCTGGTTGACTGCTAAAAATCTCACGTTAGAGCATCATAAGGGAGATGTTAAATGGAAGGTCAAACATAAATAA